GGTAGGACAGGGCCCCAGAAGGAAGAGGGCAACTCCACAGTGATACAGCCCCTAGAGCTCCCCATTTGTCTGAGAGGTTTGGCTGACAGTCTGTTCCCCAGTGGCAGCAGGAGGATCTTTTTTTTTTTTTTTTTTTTTTTTTTTGTCTTTTTCCTTTTTATCGGTACCAGAGATCGAACTCACGACTGCCTGCTTGCAAGGTAGACGCTTATGCCGCTGAGCTAAATCCCCAGCCCGTAGGAGGATCTTTGTAAATCTGATCCTGTCACTGCTGCACCATGGATGAAGGTACATCTGGCTCAGCCCTTCCTGCCTGGCACACAGCTGCCCTTTGGTCTCTGGTCTCTGGCTGCAGTGCCCAGGGTGGGAAGTGTGCTGGACCATGTTCCCCGCTACCTGCTACGTGGCCATGGTCTTACCTGGAAGGGGCAGCCTTCCCTGACCACCCTTGAGTGATCCCCTCATGTGTGCAAGAAATCCACAGCATCTCCCTCCCACAAAGGCCTTCAGCCTTGGATCTACTAAACTCAACGCATAGAGGCTTTGCTACTCAAATGTTGCATAATGCAGCAAAAGCCGTCATGGGATCTGAGGCCAGTGCTGCTGACTTCAGGAGCTCCATGTGGACACAGAAACTGGGTCAAGCAGCCATGAACTTCAAGCATGCCATTGGCCAAGAGCTGGAACCACTGTGCCTGGTGCACGCTGCATACCCTGGGTGTTGGGGTGACGACAGCTTGCTCTGGCTGATGCCCACATGATGGAGACTGCCCTCCATCTGGGCTGCAAGCTGCCAGAACTAGAGAAAGCCAGACAGTGTGGCAAGGTCTCACCCATGGAAGAGTCCTACAGGACAGTATCCAGATTCTTGTGTCACAAACAGGGAGTCTGAGGCATATAGCTACCCAGCCACAAGGTGCCTAGTCCCCACCCAACTGTGCCAGGACCATGGAGAGAGGGACCAACTTGTCCCCATCTGCTGCTCCCCATCAATTGGTGGCTGAGGACAGGGCCCTCTCCAAAAGGATGCCCTCCCCCAGGCTCAGAGGGCTGTGATCCCACACCCCAAACCTCCCTGATGACAGGCTTTTGTCAACCATGAGAAGAGGTGGGTCACCATGGATACTGGGGACCCTGGGCTGCAGACTGCTGGCTTTCAGGAGACCTTCCCACAGCTCCTGAGGCTCCAGCTCTCCAGGCCCCCAGCCATGAGGCAGGTGCACTCCAGTGACGGAGAAGCTCCCACCTATGGGAGCGATGCTGTGGAGGAGGCCTCATGACTGACATGTGGGGTTGAGTCTCTAATTAAAACGTGCACAGATGCCAGTCAGAGATCAGCCCTGAACTAAGGTCTTCACCCTGAGAAACTTCCCAAGTCTCTTCTGCAGAAGCCGTGCCTTGAGCACTCCATAGCTCTCCCCACCAGGAAGCATAGCCTTCATGCTGAGCATGGACACTGGGCTAAACTGTAGTGACTGTCAGATATCTGGTTCTCCACCTAGCATCCCACTGTGGTCACCCAGGTGGTGTTAGAAATGTCTTATTATGAACAGCTCTGAGACAGGTGCCCAGACCAGGTGGTTTGCAAAAACCAGGGTTCTGACATGCACTCATGCTGGGGATACCACTACACTCCTCTTTGTACAGATGGGGAAACAAGCTCCCAAAGAAGAGGGGAGCCATCTCAGGCCCTGGTCGTAAGCAGCTTCTAGGACCAGGATTTCTCCGTCCCACTGGCCACCGAAGCTTCAGATGGCTTGAAAGGGGAGGCAAGTGACTCTGGGCATCCAGAGGCAGAGGGGACGCTGTTTAAAAAGTGGGGCCAAGGGCCAGGGGTGGGCACACAGGGCAGAGCAGGCTATATCTCAGCCTTGCCCCCTCCTGGAAGTGGCAGAAGGTGCATGACTTTCCAGCGAATGCCACAAAGGCAGCTGCAGCTCTGAGCACCACAAGGAAGGGCCCAGGAGCCCAAAAGCTCTAGAGTAAGGCCCTGGGAGGAAATGACAACAGGGTGCAAAGGCAGTCTCTTGGGAAACTGAACTCCAGCCACAGCCCCTCCACCCATGACATGGGACAACTGGGCCCTAAAGTGTGTGAGCTGGACAGTCCTAGCTGGAGAACAAACTGGCAGAACCCCATGGGCTTGCAGGAGAGCTGGACTGCTGCAAACTGAAGGAAGATCGAAAGTTGGGCATGGGGTGCAGACCTTAATCTCAGCACTTGGGAGCCTGAGGTGGAGGAGCAACATCAGTTTGAAGCCAGCCTTGCTACACAGCAAGACCCTGTCTCAAACAAAACTATAGCTGGAGGAACCCCAAAAGACTCCAGCTCCCCTGCACACAATTTTGTTCTTGCAGGCACACTGCTAAAAATCACATATCCTATTTGCAAATGTTGGGGACTTGGTTCCAGGCCAGGTCTTTATGATCTATAAAAATAAAAAAGAACCAAAACAAAAGTTTGTGCCAAGGGAAAGAAGCTACTGAACAAGGGGAAGAATGTCATGGCTCCTCCTCCTCCTCCTCACTTGTTCTTGGCAGAATGTGTGCATTCCTGGGCCTGTGTGCCTGCTGTGTGCCTGCTGTGTGCATGCATGCAAGTGTTTAGGTGTCCATACAGGAGCCTGCACATGTATGTATTGCTGTTTGCGTGTGTGCACGTAAGGTGCACACCATGCATGTGTTGAGTGATATATGCACATATGTCCATTTATCTAGTATATGTATGCACATGTATGCCCATGTCTACACATGCTAGGTGCCTGTGCACTCATGTGTGCATGCGCAAAGGTGTGTGTGGAATCTCAGGTGACATAAAGGCTATATTTAGGAGGAGAAGGGGGATTGGAAAGCCCAGGAAACTCTTGAAAACTGAGGATTAAACATGCAATTTGGGACCATCCATGACCTCAAGGTCCTTGGCAGAAATAATTTACAGGGCCAAAATGTCAGTGCAAGCTGGGCTCACTGACTACCCACAGGCACAGTTCTTTCTGGAAAGTAGCCTCAACAGAGCTCCATCTGCAAGTGCGAGCAGTGGGAAAGAAAGATGACAAGAGCTAAAAATGTGTGGGCATTGTTAGAATGGGGCTGATGAGAGCTGGGAGTCCGAGTGATGGGGGTTAGGCCAGGGCTGTGCTGGCCTTCTTGGCTGGCCATGTGGCTCCTTTCCGGGCAACTCCTTCACTCTACAGATCCTACTTTCCAGTGACAGCCGGGCCTTCCAGCACCTGTGTGCATCCAAACACTTGAGGAGGCTTGGGGGAGTCACCTATAGGCAAATGAAAATTACTAATAATCTTGTCATGGCTCATCAGTTCTGAAAGTTGATGATACGCCTGGCACTGAGCTGGGCATTTATATTAAGCATAATTACATTTCTGTTAAGTAGGATAATGCCATTCCCCGCCTCCAGGAAGTACTTCTTGGTAAGACTGCAGAGCTTTCACAGGCAGCTCAGATTGTCACCACCGCTGAGAAGCTTCCTCCCATGTCACCAATTACTCCCCAACTGCAGGGCAGTTGGTAGCTGTTTACCTGGGCCCTCAGGGCAGAGATAGCTCTGTTTGCAGAATGAATACTAGCTGTCCCATTGGCCCCTCCCTCCAGCCAGCCCTAAGCCCGGAATCGGTCTCTGTTTGTCTCATCATGGATAATACAGATCCCAGCTTTTTGCTTCCGATATAATTTTTTATGAAAACACTGGAAGTTGAGAACGTGCTCTCTGGAGACCAGCTCCTGTCCTCAACAGGCCATACTGCAGGAAGCCAACAGCCCTTGAAGGCAGGTCAGAGGCTCCTGCAGTGCTCTGCCTCCTCCGGGACAGTCACCATTCCCTGGCTGCAGTCCGTTCCTCCCTTCCACCATCACCAGCACCCCTTGCATCCATCAGAAGGAAGACACCACCACCCACAAAGCCCTTGACCATCCCTGCAGAGTCCCAAGAGCCCGAGACAAGATGTCCATGCTCCCAGCACACTGAAGGGCAGCATCCCTGCACCACAGTGTCTGGGCCACCCCTCACCCCACAAATCTGACCCACCCTTGCAGGTGACAGGGACAAAAGAGGTGCAGAGCCAGAGAGGTCATCACCATGAGCTGTGCTTGGTACAGCCAAAACTGTGTCCCAGGTAGAAAATGCAAAGATGTTCACAAGGAGGTGGGAGTGGACATGCTGGGATGAACCAGATGCCACAGGGATCTGTATCCCACACCAACTTTCCATGGGCACCAGTACCCAGTGGGCAGAGGCTTCCTCCTCCCCCTCTCATGACCCCTCCAGTGGGCAAGGAGCCCCACAGGCAGTATAGGCCCTAGCTCACTGGCAGCTGCCCACGACAGACTGGCTCTCTAGGGCCCTGACCTGCCTGTCTGAGCCTCATGCCCGCTCAAGAAGCAGAGTGCATGGGAAGCAGGTTTCTCGGGGACCCTACTTGCCCAAGAAACACCACTCAAGGGGCACCCCCTGGCTGTGACTCAAGCTTAGGATGCTTACCATCCACTGAGCACACAGCATCATGAGCTGGCCCTGCCCCACAAGGCTGCTGTCCCCGTGAAGCTGCAGCCAGACACAGCTAAAGAACACTGTCAGGGGTGTACTGTGCACTGGGGTCCAAAATAGCACCCTTTCCTGCTCATCAGGTATGAGTTGCACTTCCCACCCTGCCAGCTTGCTGAGTTCTGTCCATTGCTAAGTTGACTGGGCTGGCTTTGGACTCTGATCTTCCTGCCTCAGCCTCCTGGGACCCAGCTCTCCAACTGGTCTTGTCAAGCAGAAATGACTTCAAACATTGTCGATGTCCCCAACCCAGATCCAGGAGGGAGGCATCTGCGCCTGCACTCCAGAGGCCCTGAAGAGCCAGACCAGACGCTGTACAACCCACCACACTGGAGAGGAGACCTCAAATGTCCAAGTGGAGACAACTCAGTCTTCCTGCAGCAAGCTCTCAGGGTTCGGGGAGGCAGCCCCCTCCTCCCGGAACAGCCCACGCCAGGCTCCAGTGCATACAAACCCACTTTAATGCACGTGTACAGAGATCAGGGTGCCAGGCAGGGGGCAGAGAAAAGCAAACTGCCACCCACCTGGACAAAGCCCCTAGTCTGTTCTGAGGGTCCACACAGGGAGCAGACAGACAGAAGGTAGGGTCTGGGGTGGTAAGCAGTGGGCGGAGTCCAGGTGCGGAGAGCTGGCTGAGCCAGACAGTCGCCTGTGTATCCGTGTGTGTACACTGGATGTCAGGGCCTCATCACTGCTTGGAACAGGGGCAGGGTACAGAGCGACAGGATAAGGGCACCTCCCCAGCAGGGCTGCCCTGCTTTGCCTCTTACAGGCTGCAGAGGGAGCCAGGCCATGGCTCAGCTCTCGGCCTTAGAAACACTCTGGAGATGAGGTCGTGGCTTCTTGAAATCCTAAGCCCTGCATCTCTAAGGTCTCTTGACAAGAGCTGTGGCAGTTCAGACTGATATGGACTGTAGGCACAGAGCTACCAGGGCAGGCATGTGGTGCCCACACTTGCCTGGCACAGCCCAGCCACCACCACTCCTTCTGACAGTCATGCACAGAGGGTGCTGGTGGGACGTGCGCCTCACTCATTTCTTAGCACATGGTGGCACTCAGTAAATGCATGAGGATGGACACTACGGGCAGCCTGGCTCTCACAGAGCTCTGTCCTGTGCCGACTGAAGGGACAGACTGGCTCAGTGTAGGGCTCAGTGGAAGGCAGCGGCAGGTGCTATCTGGACAGGAGGGAGCAATCACTGGCCAAGATGCCAGGTCTGCACCACAGTGTACGGGCCAGGGGCCACCATGTCCACTGCCCTCAAGATGAGGCACAGTAGCAAACACTTGGCGCCTCCATGGAGTAGAGGAAGCTAGGGGGAGGCCGGGAAGCTGCATTACGGGCAGAGCCGAGGAGTAGACAGGCCACTGGGTGGACAAAACAGAACCCAGAGTGGGCACTGCAGAGCAGGGTAGGGTCCCCATATGTACCCACCATGCCAACCCCACTCAGGGAGAGCACTCGTGACCTGTCCAGCAACTTGTTCCAAAAGCTGCACTGCTGGCAAGAGATGCCACCAGCTTGGTCCCTGAATCTCCCCACTGTCCCCTGTGCTCAGAGACACATTGTCCTGGGGAAGTTGAGGTCAGGAGACGGCAGAGGTGAAAGGACTTGGGGGGCAAGCAGGAAGGCATAACTCAAAGATCTTAGTGCGTCAGGGGGCCTCCCAGCTGTGCCAAGGGCCCACATTGGGCTCCTGGCAGGAAACATGGGCAGTGAGGGGGCAACCTAGGCCACCTCCCTAAGGTGCTGCCTCAGTCCCCTTGTCCTCCGCATGCCCAGCTCACTGGACAGTGCACTTGTCCCTCTCACGGGCCTGGCCCTCCCGCAGGACCTTGGCCTTGATGTACTTGAGGTCACTGTTGACACTGGGCCGCCGGGCAAAGGGCGAGACCATGCCATAGGCATCCACGTCCTTGCCACGCCGCATGCACAAGGGCCGGGTGTGGAAGGCATCGCCATACTGCACAGAGATCTTGCGGTGCAGTGCAGGGCTCATCTCGTGTGGCAGCTTGGCCATGCTGAAGAGCACGTAGAACATCTCGTCCACGTTGGTGTTCTTCTTGGCTGACACCTCAAAGTAGGCGCAGTGCTCATCGCCTGACACTAGCAGCTCAGCCTCGGTGCTGGGCACTTGGCGGCATGGCTCCCCGTGGTCGCTCTTATTGCCGCAGATCACCATGGGCAGCTCTGCAGCCTCCTTGGTCCTGTTCTTCAGGCAGGACTTGACCTCCAGGATCTGCTTTTGCAGCCGCTTGACCTCATCAAAGGACTCGCGGCTATCCAGGCTGAACACCAGGATGAAGACATCGCCTGCAGGGAGGGTGGGCATGAGTCCCAAGCACCTCTGCCCAGGGCCTGGGATGGGGACTGAGACACCATGGGGCTCTTGGGGACCTGGTGTCAGCCTCCCTGTGTCTGGGGCAGGAAGCTCAGGCTCTGAGCCTAATATCTCGGCCATGCTCAAACATGCTCGCCCACACCATGCTTCTTCTTGGGCAGAAGAGAACGACCATGGACTGGCCCAGACAGTGCTAGAATCATCTTTCCACATGCACAGGAGCCTGCACCTGCTTTGGGCATCCCCATCTGTGACAGCCGGACCCACAGTGGATGCACAATGGCCAGGCATGCTCACCAGCCACTGGGCCTCGGGTGGTTCGAATGCCCCTCATCTCGCCCTGTGTTGCTCCATGTGAGCAAAGACAAGGATGGGCCCAAAACCCTTGCTGGCACTCCTCCTCCCTGCTCCAGGTGCACATGCCTATGCCCAGAAAGCACATGCAGCCATCCCAAGGTCACACAGCACAAGTGGGGCTTGGCTGGGACTGCACCTAAACCTGTTCTCAGCTGCCTGCTTCCTGAACACCTGTGAGATGGGCTCTAAATCAGAATAGGGAGCCACGTGGGTTCAGGAGGGCAGCAGGGTGTGTACCTCTACCCCATCCGGATGCCCTTTCCTCACTTTGCTGAGCTCTTGGAGCTGTGAGTAGATTAGGCTCTTCATCTCACAGGCAAGGAAACTGAGGCTCAGGGGTGCTGGCCACAGACCAAGTCTGCAGGAGAATCCAGCAGGAATCCACCACCTTCTACAGTCTCCACAAATGGACGTCCCAGTATGTGAGCTCTGGCAGCAGGGTCAGCACAAACCCCACCCAGGCTCACACAGTGGATGCACAGGGAGGCTGCTGCAGGTGGCACAGATGGCAGCCTCAGCATAAGCTGCTCGGAGAGGGTCAGACCTCACTGTCCTGTTAGTCTGATCTCAGCCCCCAAATGTGAGACTGATGCCAAGCACCAGTCCCTTGGAGGCAGTTGAAAGAAGGCTGGTAGCAGCCGGAATGGCTTCAGAATCCTCTGCACCCAGCACCAGAAAGCAAGGCTGGGCTGGTGATGGAATAAAGCAAGAGCAGACAGATGTGCTCAGAATGCTACATGCACAGAACACAGACAGAAAAAGCTCTTGCCATTGCTAGGACACAAATCTGAATGAGAATGTGCTCGTAAGGCCAGAAAAGCCCACAACAGGCCCCAGGGTGGCCACCTTGGGGAAGCAGAGCCTGCAACAGGGGACACGGTGCAAGGGGCTCCGGCCTCACCTGTAGAACTCATCTAGTATTATTTGTGTGACTAAAAGCACACATGTGGACTATACACCCCTTCTCCTCTACCTGAGCACTCTTTGTGTCTGTGATACCCAGGTCCCCCATGCTGGGAGAGCTGACCCCACACCACACCCACTGTGGAAGCCAGGAGTCCAACACACCCACCTCCAGCCCACATCTAAGCTGCCAAATGGCAGAGCCAGGACTCAGATCTATCAAGGGTCTTCCAGACAAACACTCCCTCTCCAGACACGGGTGCCCAGGAACATCCAGGCCTGGAAAGCCTGGGTCCTGGCAGGGTGAGAGCAGTGTGGGCAGGTGTGGTGTCTGGTCTAGGGGCACCTTAGCACTAAGGAGAGTCACCTGTATGCCGCCTCAGCTCTGCCAGGCATGGGAGGGACCAGCTGGGGAGGTGGCAGCAGCCACAGCGGGCACACCAGAAATGCCATCGCAGCTTACGGTCAAGGCTCCCTGCTCACCAGCACCTTCTGTGCATTAGCTGAGCTCCCAGGATGCAGTCCGTGCCCCTTTTCCAGAAGAGCAAACGCAGGCACAGCAACAAAGGCAGTGGCTGGCAGTGAGGCTGGCACGGGCTATGTCCAAGAACCCCTGGCGTCCCCTCCAGTCTCTTGTCCTTCCCTGTGCTCTCAGCAGGCCAGGAGGCTGCTGGAAACTTAGTGGGATGCAAGAGAACTGGCTGCTGCCTCTCCACCATGCTTTTTTTCCCCCCTTGGTCTTTTTGAGATAGGGTTTCAGGGCTGGCCTTCAACTCTTTGCAGCCCAGGCTGTTTTGAAACTCTCAGTAATCCTCTCATCTTAGCCTCCTGAGTGCTGGCATTACAGGCATGCGCCACCATACCAGGTTTCTCACCATGCTTCTGCCTAGCATGAGTTGCTGACCTCTACCTCAGTTTCCCCACTCGTGCAGTTGTGAGCATCAAATAAACACACACCAGGCTCTAAGAACAGGATCAGGCCCTCAGCCACTGCCATTACTGCCAACACAAAGCCCCTCCCTGTGCATCCCCAGCTCCCCCCATCCTCTCTAGAGGTGGCCAAGATGCAGGGGCTCTGAGCTCTGCTGGGTCTCCTGCCTATAGAAGCAGCCATCGACCCCTTGGTACCTGTGGTACCTTGGTACCTGGTTGGGTGGACTGAAACTGGGGCAGTACCCCTAAGCTGGCAAGCCCCAGCCCCAGCCCCAGCTGCACCTGTGAGAATGGACAGCCGGCGCATGGCGGGGAAAGGGTGGTTGCCGGAGGTGTCCAGGATGTCCAGCTGGTACATGTCGCCACGGATGTTGTACACCTTGCGGTGGAAGTCCTCAATGGTGGGCGTGTACTGGTCCTCAAAGCGGCCGTTGAGGAAACGTGAGACAATGGCGCTCTTGCCCACACGCGAGGCACCCAGCACCACCATGCGGTAGGAGTTCTTGGCCGGCACGCTCAGGGCACAGTTTCCACTGCTCAGCGTCTTCATCATGGCGCGCGGCTGCCGAAAAAGCAAAGGGGCAGCCAATGTCAGGCACCGCCACCCACCTGTCTAAGCCCCACCAGAAGGCCTGGGCCTCCTGCGCACAGCTTGGCCTCATTTTCACCTATGAAATGTGGGTGTGGAGCCCCAGCCCACACTTGCCCACACCTCCTTCACCTGCTCACTTTTCTACCCCTGTTCGCCAACCCCTCATCTAGGGGAGCTCCAGTGGGTCTAGCTCCTGGCAGGACACTGGGACCCCTGCAAAGTTTCTCCTGAGAGTGACAGAATGGGCCCAGGGGCTGGGACAGGACATAGGTCTGCATGCATTTCTAAGACAAGGGTGCTGTGACCCTTCAGTCCCCCAGAAAGGAGAGAAAGCTATGTCCTAACCCTTGCACCCATATGTCCAGACTGCTCCTGTGGCCACTATGGAGGACACACCCTGGTCTGAGGAAGGCTCTGGCCTGCCCAGGATCTGTCCCCAGGAGGCCTTGGCCAAAGGATGAGGGCAGGGCATGGCCACAGGCAACTCAGCCTCCCTGCCAACTCCAGAAGAGCCCAGACTTCCCCGGGGTTCCTCTTGGGCCACCAAAGAGGCCTGAGACAGATCTAAGATCTCCATCTCGGGGAGACTTTCGTGGCCACTCCTGTGGAGACTTCTGGGCACAGATCCCCTGGCCTATGGCCACCTCTGCTCTCTGCTGAGGCCCGCACACTTGTCTATGATGAACACTCCCACCATGCCCAGGTTCTGGACAGCAACAGGGCCTTGATGAATACTCAGAGGGATCTGGACAACAGGCATCTCAACACTCAGCTGGCCACCAGAGCAGCACGACCGCCACTGAGCAAGCCCTGGCTGAGCCTCTGTGTGCCAAGAATGGTGCTAGGCACAGAACAGTCACGGCAGCCACTGCCTGCTTTGTAGCTGACATGTGCTGGGGTATGCCGAATGCTTTCCACACATCACTTTGCACAGCCCTCAACAGCAAGAGCTAGAGACACACAAGTGACGCCACGTGCTCACCCAACCAAGACCAGCGAGCAAGATGGACCCAGGTACTCTGCCTCATGCTAGGACACCACTTCCACTTCTCATATGAAGACCCTGACAATCAAAACATTATGGAACTTGCCCATTCAGGCAATGAGGGCCCTCAGGAAACACCAGGCCTAAGGCCTCTGACACAAAAATACCGTCCATGAACCCATGCCAAGGGGCTACAGCACCATGTACACAGCAGGTTCTCAATAAATGAGCCATGAAGAAAAAGAATGGCAAAGTCCCATTCCAGCACCTTCTCTGCTCAATCCAACTCACCTGGCTGGCCAGGTGAAGGGTCTCCAGGCAGCCCATGGAGCAGGCTAAGCACAGCTTTAGGGGGGAGAGGAAGGGTCATAATGCTAGGGACAGTTGCCTCTCTGCCTCCCATGCAGCTGACTAGGCAGCTTCAGAGAAGATGCAAAAAGAGGCCCCACCCCCAAGTTCTGGGGTCCCTCTGTCCAGACCAGACAGCACCTGTTTCCAGCACTGTCCTCAGCCTCTAGCCAGAGCCACTGGGGCAGGCAGGCTAGCACCAGCATTGATGGATTTGAGGAAGTGAGAGGGAGGAGACAGAGAATAAGTAATAAGAGCATTGATGGATTTGAGGAAGTGAGAGGGAGGAGACAGAGAATAAGTAATAAGAGCTGGAGTCAGAGAAGTTACCAGGGAAAGTCCTCCGTGATCTTCATGTGGCCCCAGCCATGTGGGCTGTGCAGCACCTGGACACCAGGTGACAGCACTGTGGCAACAACCCCTGCCCCATATCTTCCCTGAGGAAACCCTGGACTTTGTCTCTCAAGTCCCTAGGCTTGGCCCAGGACTGCAGAGCAGGAGCAGACAGAACTTCACGCAAAACCCAGAAAGCCAGAGCAAGAAAACCAAACTAGGTGCCAAACATAGGTGCAGGCTGCTGACCCACCCCAGGCTGTTCCAAGAGCAACCAGGAGGCCGAAGACGGGGCAGGGCCCTTCCAGGAACAAGAGGCACTGTCACAGGGATCCAGCTCACCAGTGCTGTGCATACCATATCCTATTCACCCCAGCCCACAGGGAAGATCCACAGGGACCCCCTCATCTGATATGGACACTGAGGCTCAGAGAGGTCAAGCTGCTCTCTCTTCACAAACAAGTGACTGGCTAGGCTAGAATCTGAATCAGGCTGTCTGGCTGCAAAGCCCCACTCTGTGAAAACTGAGGTGCCTGGCATGTGACTCAGAGGGCTCATCTGGCACTGGACAGGGCAATGGCCCAAGCGGCTCACGTCCTCATCCTTAGCCCCTCCAGCTAGCAGGGGCAGGTGCCTGTCCAGGGCTCTCCTGCCAGCAGCTCTGAGGCCCCTCATCTGCCTCACTGGTCTCCAGGGCTGCGGGTGGGAGGTGCATAGGTCAGACGCTCCGGCTAGGGACTTTGTAAGCCCAACTCCAGCCTCCAGATGCTAGGCACCTGGAGGGCCACCTCTGCTCCCTCAGCTACAACCCCAAGATCCTTTGGGGCTCGGCCTTCCCTCTGCTGTGGGACAGCAGAAGCACACCAAGGGACTTCAGGCTCCTACTGACCCAGCACACAAACGGACGCACGCACCCACACACAGCCACATCCACACATGCTAGCACGCACAAGTAACAGGTCCTCCAAACCCGCGCTTTTAGCTGTCACGTTGCGACAGGTCCTGCAAGGGCCCTTCTGTCTCCAAAGCCTGGGGAGGCCTGCGCTCTGGGTTTGGACCTCTCACCTCCCGCGGAGGGAGAAAGCAGGGCCCCCAACTGAGCACAGAGGTGTCCTGGCAAGGGGTCACTCCCTCTGCAGCAATGAGACAGAAGCTTGGACTGCAGATAGCAGACTCCCAACACTGGACCAGGGACCACGGCCCTCCTGGCCCTTCTTCCAGGGAGCCAGGAGGGCGCGGTCCCTTCTTCTAAGCCCAGGGCCGGTGAAGCAGGCCAGACCCAGGTCTCCAAACCCGGAGCTGTGGTGCCGCACCTACAGGGACAAACCAGGAAGCCGCCCCCCACCCCCACCCCGACCAAGAGAAGGACGCGCTTGGGTAACGAGCCGCGGGTGGCATGGGTTCAGCAGGCACGCAACAGCCCGCGCAGCCCCGACTCCCCTACCCACTCAAATTCGGCCTCCGCCCCCCAGCCCCCGCCCCCAATGCCCGGCCCCACTACCTGCGCCCGGCGCGCACCCCCCGCAGCTCCGGCCGAGCGTCCGGGTGTGCGTGGCGGCTCCGGGGTCCCAGCGCGGGATCCGCCCTCGGCAATGGGCGCGGAGCATCCATGGGCGCGCGTGGCGGGGCCTGGGCGCGGGACGGGGTCCGGCTCGCTATCGCCTGCCCGACCCGGTCCCGCCCCCGCCCCGGGGGCCTCGTGCTGAGCCAGGGGCGCGGGCTGCGCGACCCGGGTCCCCACGGAGGGCCCGCGCGCGGGGACGCCGACAGTCCGCGCGGAGCCTAGAGCCGCCCCGCGCTTCTCCCGAGGAGCAGAACTTTCTCCGGCCGCAGCGAAGACACGCGTCCCTCTCCGCGCCAGCGGTGCCCACCTGCCTCGGCCTCCTGGGAGCCCGTCCCGCCCGGTACCAGCGTCTGCGCTCCTCCAGCGCCGCGCCCCGCCCGCTCCCCTCCCGCGCCTCTCCCGGCCAATGGGCGGCGGGCTCTGCGGCTCGGCCCCGCCCCTGCCGGTCCCAGCCCCACCCCGTTCACGCCCTCGGGGGTATCTGCGGTCCACTCTCTGCGTGCCCGGGCGCTCGGCGGGCCGGGGCACGGGGACTGGCCGGGTGCGGGCGCGTGCCCTGGGACTGGAAGGCGTTTCAGCGCAACGTGGAGGCCGCCTCCACCACGCGCTCATGCCCACGGCTGTCCAGCCGATGAGGCCCCGCTGGGTCCCGGAGCCCTCCTCCACCTGCCTCTCCGAGCCTCGCTGCCTTCCCGAGGTCTGGGCGCGCGGGGCGCGGGGGCTGTGCACGTGTGCAGTGCACGTGCTGCCTCGAGGAACCCTGCAGTAACCTTGGCCCCGCGTGCCTGCAAGTCAGTGTAGGAGTGAAGGGAGTCAGACATCAGGAGTTCTCCGGAGCTTACTTCCATCAATTGGCTACTTAATGTTTCCTTTAAATCCAAGACCCACTGCCCCGACACTTCCAGAGAATGATTAACATCACTGCCTTAAATGGGGAGCCGGTGTCACTTGCCATAAACGGAAGGTAAGAGTAAAACTAGCACAAAGAAAACAGCAAGGTTACATTCTGGCTCAAGACCGTGGCCGTCAAGGCTGGAGCTGGGTCCTCAGTAGACAGGGAGTAGGCTGGGTTGGGAGAGGTGGACATGTCCTTAGCCCACGTGGCAGAGCCCAGGCCTGGTGTTAGGGGTTGGGGCCAGGGAGGCTCCTGGCTCAGTACCCCTGCCACCGTGGGGACTCTGGGCTGTCTCGCCCTGCTGACCGTCCAGCCCCATTGAAGAGAGACTCAGCCTCAGGAAGGTGCCAGGCTGGGCTGAGTCCCCTGTGAGATGGATACAATGCCATAGACCTGCAGGGTGGCAGACCCCCTCAGATGACGTTGACTCTGCCTTCAGAAACAGCCTTTCCTCTGTCACCTCAGGGCTCTCCGGGGACAACGAGGCTGTCCAGGTGGAGGAACCCAGTGTGCGGAAAGCCATGCCTTGTCCTGTGTGACAGTGCTCAGTGTCCGGATTTAGGAATCACAGAGGCTCAGGGCTGCACATGTGCCACTGCCAGCAACCTGTGCTCTTTGAGGAGCTGGCTTCGCTCAGAGCACTGTGCTTAGCTTGCACTGTGTGACTGGAGCCAGGCTCAAACACGTCACTGCAAACCAGGCTGTCATCCCCGTGGCCACCATGGGAGCCTCTTCCTCCTACCACAGGCAGGGCTCATAACCCACTGGCCACACCCCTCAGAAGGACAGGGGCCTTGCTCCTGGTACAGGATGGCTGTCAGTGAGCAGGTACACTGCTTCCCCCTTCGCACTTTCCTGCACCCCATTTGTCTCCACATAGACTGTATGCTATAGCTGCCCGTGTCCTTCCTTGCTGGGCTCCTTGTTGCCTGCTGTCGCATCACTTGTGACCACTTAAAATTTCTGATACAAATGCTATCCCTGCTCAAGAGGTTTCAAGGCTCCCTAGTGCCCAACACATAAAATGTAACTCCTTCTACCAGGTCCTGACTCTCCCTGTGCCCTGAGCAAGCCTGCATTCTGTCCAAATCAAACACTTCCTAAGTCTATGAAGAAGTTGGACCGCTCCTCCTGCAGTTTTATGCTTCAATCCGGGACATCTTTTTCTTTACCCTTCAAACTTCTGCACATCCTTCAAAGCATGGTGATCACATTTCTCCTCAAAAAGCTTTCCCCCAGCCTTTTTAATGGTGTGAACCTTGTCCTCTGAGTTCCCTGGGCACTGAAGCCTTACCCCTTATGCCTCAGTTTCTTTGCCTATAAAGTGAGCGTCACAAGAGTAGCTACTTTGTGGAGTGTAAAAAGTAAAATAACGGCCGAGGATTTAGCTCAGTGGCATAAGTGCCTGCCTGGCAAATGCAAGGTCGTGAGTTCGATCCCCAGTACAAAAAAAAACTTAAATAACTGTGTAGTGCCTTGTGTGAAGCAGCTGTCATTGTGGATCCTCTCAAGCCCGAGTCACCATCCCTGTCAGCATGTGAGTCTGGGAGCAGGACTGAGCCAGATTCGTGTTCACTTTCCCCTGTCACGAAGGCAGTGTTTTGTATGCTGTCCATTTCTAATAAATATTGAGTTGCTGTGGGGAGGAAATGCCTGGGGATTGCCTTGGGAACAGAGAGACCTGATGGTGACAGGGGCAGAGATTCCTTCCATCTTCCCAGCACCCTCTGATAAAAGGGAAGCAGACTCTGAGGAGCAGAGAAAAGCAGAACCGGCAGCCACAGTGGATTTCTCCAGAAGGAATACGGCCTTTGCTGGTGTCCATCAGCTCCACAGCTGCTTTCCTGAACAGTGGCTCCTGTCCCTGGCAGTGACTTAACTTGCCTGTAGGCCCTCTGGCCTTCGGGGCAGCTTTAGAAGGAAACAACCCCACCAATGCCAAGTCACCTGCCCCAGGCTGGACTGGGGGACACAAGTGCACATCCAGGCCTGCTCCATGCTGGTCAGTGTGTTCCCTGGATTGCTAGAGATGCAGCTCTGCTCACCTCCCAAGGCGTCTGGATTCTCCGGCCGGATACTGAGAACCACTCACCAACTAGGAGACTAGAGGTACAGCAGCTCAGAGGGCCCAAGGCCCAACCTTCCTCATTCTCAGATGGGACAGTTGTGGCTCAACCAGGTTCAGCACCTGCCAGGAACAGGCCAGCCCACTGCCCATGCCTGGGTGCCTCTGCGGAGCGCACGTGGCTCCAGTGGGACCATTCCCAACCAGGCCCGGGTGGAGTCAGGGTCAGCATTGGTGGAACTGAGGAGCCCCAGTACTGGCTGGGGCCTGGTGTCAGACTCCAGCTATGCAGGAACCTGCACCATCACAGGGCCACACAGATACTTCTGAGCAAAGTGGTGAGGACAGAGGGAAGATCAGCAGGAGCAAGTCAAACCCTACACCCTCTCATCTTCCTCCCACATCTACCTCCTGCCCCTCCCTTCACCTCATGAGCCTTCACATCTGAGTAGCCCCACCCCGCTAGGAATCTGGATCCTGATCCCACACAGACTGGAAGAGCACTGGTGTTCATGGAGTGGGCTGCCCAGCGCTTCTGATCCTCATGTCCCAACAAGCCTGACTCAGCTCCCTGAACTTGCTCAGCTCTGCCTCCTGGCCTTAGCTCACACTGGAGCCTGTGCCCAGGACCCTCGTCCCTGGGCTACTGAAGGTCCTGGCATCCCCCCTCCCTGGCTGTCCCCCTTGCTGTCTGAACTCTAGTAAGGCAGACCTAACACTCAAGATCCAGATATGCAGGACAATGCCTCACACTTCATCTGTGGACTTGCTGTCTTGGTTCCCCATCTCCAGAGTCAGTGTCCAAGTGGATCTGGGAAGCAGGACACAGCCCTGAATGTCATGGAGTCCTTGATTGTTGAGGGCTGAAGTGGTGCTTACCACTCGCTGAGTACACAGTAGAACTCAGCTACAGGACTCATGGTCAGTATCCTCCCCTGTCCAGCAAGAGTGTCAGGTCAGATGTTTTCTGAGGCACACCTTACCTCACTCCTGAGCCAGGTAAATCCACCTCAGGTGGCCAAGAGCCCTTCCAGCACAGAGATAGTTTCATGCAAGTTAGGGAACAGTGCTATCTTCAGGTAGGGGCAGCCCTCCCGCTTTGAGGCCCACAACTTCAGCAGGAAAAGCACAAGCTGGATTTCCTCATCCGAGTGCCATTAAGTGCTAAGTGACCTGCAAAACCATACAAAGCTACCATTGCAATGCCATCTAGTCCCTGAAAGGCACACAGACAGGCTGGCAAGGAGCAGCGATGACCAGGAGGTTGTGAGCATTGCAGTAGGTTTGGCCAAGATGGTGGAGCACTCACAAAAGGCAGGGGCAGGGTGAACCAGAGGCTCTAATCCTAGTGAACCAGAGGCTCTAAACCTAGTGACCCCTCCTCGAAGGCTTGGGTGGTCCTGGAGATTGCAATATGGAGCTGCATCATTGGCCTCAGTTGGAGGGGAGGAACTGATGCCAAGAAGGGTCCAACCACACTAGGACATCTGGCAAGTGGGTGGCAGAGGCTGCCCAAGAGTGTGACCTGCCAGTGGCTCTCAAACACTGCAGCCACACCATCTGCTCCTGGCAGGGTCTTGAAAGAGGACCTTGCACAGGAGGCAGGACAGGGCAAGTCCCAGAACCAAAGCTCTTGGTCAGTCAAGGACCTGTCCAGTCATTGACTAGCAACAGACAGATCCTTGACTGAAAATACCTGGGTCCTTTAATGACCAACCCTCTGATCTTTCTGTGCCACTCCATTGTCATCTTAAGGCTGAGCCTGAATATTCCATAACAGGCCCCTCATTGTCTATCCTTCCATCATCCATCCCCCATCATCATACTACCATCACCGTCTCCATCACCTCCTCTATCATCACCACCACCTCATCATCACCACTATCACTTCCATCACCATCACCGCCATCACCACGTCACCATCACTATCAACACCATCATCACCACCTCTATCATCACCACCATCTTCACCACCACCATCACCTCCATCACTATCCCCACCATCACCTCCATAATATTCTCCATCATATTCTCCATCATGATCATCTCCATCAACATGAACATCACCATCACTATCAATACCATCATCACCACCATTTTCTCTATCACCTCCTCTATCATCACTGCAATCTTTACCATCACCACCATAATATCCATCGTCTCCATCATCATCCTTATCATCTCCATCTCCATCACCATCTCCATCATTTCTTCTGTCATCATTACCACTATGATCATCATCATCTTCTTTATCATCATCTCTATCACTATCATTATCACCACCATCATCATCACCATCTCCATCATCCCCATCATCTTCATTATCATCTCCTCTATCACTGTCACCTCTGTCACCATCA